TGGGTGTGTGTGTGGGTGTGTGTGTGCGGAGGTGGGTGGGTGGGTGGGGTGGGTTGTGTATTGGACGGTTCGCCTGTGAATGGATGGTTTGCCCGTACCCTTTTGTTATCGACGAAACATTTCGGGCATCCGCACTATATTTGTCTTTTATATAACTTTTTTCTCTATCCATAGCACATTTAATATTTGTTCAACCATTGTAAGATATACTGCATAGCTCATGCACGCCGATCTGCCGCTCATCACTAAGCTTAACCCAACATCGCCCAGATATTGCCTTGAAGCTGGAACTACATAAAACTTCTTCTACTGCTTAAGTAGACTATATATGCGATGTGTTTGAATGAACTACGAACGCACACCCTGTGGCCTATGCGGGGAGCACATACTGGACATGGTACAGCTTACTGTCTATGCTCATGGATATGGCAACGATCGTTGTTATGTATACCAACATACGCATACTTACTGGTATTCGATATGTTGTATTGCAGATCTTCCGCAATCATCCATGTCCCGGCAACTAGCCGCTATTATGGAAGACGCCGAAACCAGTCGGATGCTTCTAGCCGGATACAACACCAAGGTATAACAGTCAAGTCAGCGCTTCAGGCGTTTGTCCCATTTGCTACGTTTTTAGAGCCATATTGGTAGTACGCATGTGTGTTTATCTGTGAGATTTCTCTTAGGGAATGGCATATATACTCTAGTTCCTGAGGATCTAAAAACAAGCGCAACACACTCTGTTGAATCCATGCATATTCCTAGTTGGCAATTCTCGTGCCCTATTATGCTATGCATTCTCAGCAAGCTGAGAGCTGAGAGGCCTTTCTCGCGTTGAGACGGTCTGTTTCACGTATGAAACTCAGCCTGTGCTGCTTGAAGCATTAACCTCCAGTACGTACATGTCCTGCTGTATACGGGCATGATCTGTTTCGCCTTGGTTTCATGTTACAGTTTTCCCTGTTTAGCGTTGATGTCTTGATATAAAATGTGCAGTTTTTCCTCGTAGCTGCCACGTTGCATTCCTATTCTGTTGTCAGGCGCAACTCCGTCTCTAGCATTTGACAGCCGAATCCTTGAAACTGGGGATATTTGGTCTCATATCATACCTTTTTCCCTGCAATACCTAAACTTTTCTTCTCTGGCACCCTAATCCCTTGTGTAACAATGCTATTATTTTCTCATGCCTGTATCGTATTGGGACAGTTCAATCCTTCCCGTTTTTCGTCTAATCGTAGTTTCATATTATACACCTCCTTTCATATCACCAATCCTCAGGTGGAGTCGTTGTCGTACATGATGAGGGACTTCGATACATCATCCAATCTCGTCTATTACTTACTATTCGGTCTGCTATTCGCTGTGCCCGTGTTTGTCGTCAAATCGGGTGTGGGCATGAAGAAATTAAGTCCTTGAGTTAGTTGAAAGGCACCCGTTTCACATCTCATTGTTGGCGTAATTTAAGTAAATAAAGTAAATTTGAGGCCTCTGTAATGCAAGTATTGAATTTACTGGTTTACAACTGAACTGCACTAGCACTTCGATGACACAATCAGTGCTGCACTCTATTTTTGTCACGCAGGTAGTTGCAATGTACAAGTTGTACAGGGGGTATGCCAAACCATTACGCCACTAAGCGGACCAACAAGTCACTCAGCAGCGGAGTACGATCGGTAGTGGCAAAGTTGGTGCACAGAGCGTACGACTGAGTGGTCATACGGATAAACTTGTCATGGAATAGTGTGATTCCTACACGGAAACGGGATTCTTACCATATCTTTAGCAACAGTATTGATATTTTGGTCCAGGGCAGCTGTGCCACTTCCCGTTTCTAGAAGCAAAGTGAGATGATCCCCAATCGTTCTCTAGCATATGTAGAGTAAGTGATTATACGATGTTTGTCATCCCAACATCAGCCGGCTTATATCAGTATATGTGAGTGGGGAGTGTCCAACTTGCTGTTTATATGCAAGCGTTTCATTTACAGCCTATCACTGCTCTTATACCTATACACACCTCGAGCTCGAATCTTACATAGAGAAGACATACATAGCAAATTAGAATATTGAAATACGAACCAACCGCAAATAGCAGAGGGGGTGCAGTTTCAATAGTATATGCGACAAAGAGTGGAATGAAATATTAGTATTGAAGCGTAGTGACAAGTGCGAGAGGATATCAACCTAATGCAACTCGTCGACAGACATCGTGTACTGATAAGTAGTATCGTCATCCCATACATCCAGTCAGTAAATGTACAACTCATACACACAGACCCTGTGCCATAAACTACTGTGGTGGTGTGAGACAGTTACAGGTGATAACTAGGGACAGAAATGTACAATGCCTACGTAGCGTTAGTGGCCATTGCGCTATGCTCTAAGCACGTAATTTCACCTTAGAGTTTGGTCTTATGACACCCCATCAAAAAAAAAAAAGTAACTCCATATAGTGGAATTATGTCCCAGTAGCAGCCACTCGCATTAGTTGCCGCGCTTTTTCAATATACTTCCAGTTTTGAGGACTACCTCAACACATCGACGGACACTTATGTATCCATAATGCAATCGGTGCCACTAAAAAGCCCATAGACGTTCATTTACGAACAAGCTGTAGATTCATCCAATACGACACAATCAAATACATACAAATTAAAGTCTTGATACAAAGCTGAAACGGAATATACAAACAATTAAATCAAAACAAAATCAAAGACCATCTCAATATCGAAATACATCATGAATCGGACAAGCGGAATGATGATGTCAACAAAAATTATACATGGGTTATACGAAACTTCAATACTTGTGAATGATTTAAAAAAAGCCAAGCAGGTGAACAAATGTACTTCCACAGTAATTGAACACTTATCTAAACCTTATAAATTTTTACACTATAGATAAAACAAAGCGCGTGAGTAGCGAGTTAAATTTCGTTCTCGGCTTCGCAAACAAAAATGGAAGGATAAAATCAGTGCAGAGCAGAAACATAAACAAATACAACAGAAAGACACTCCAGAGCATAAATGCGCACGTACAAAGCAAAAACCCTTAAAATACTAACATCCACTCAACATAAACGCAGCATAACCACGAGAACCAAGGAGCATTAAACCGTTTTGGCTAAAAGTAACCGCCGGAAGCAAGAAGACAATGAAGTCTATATTGATGGTACACCAACAAAGGATTATTATGCTTTTGATACCAGATGAAAACGATATTGAGCGTTTTATATTTCCACAGCCAATTAGTAACAAAACCAACAAATAATCCGTTCAAGCATACACCAACGCGATGGACCCTAAGATTGTTCAAGCTATTGTGTGTGCTTCATGTGATTATCAACGATTACAAGGTCCTGACGACGAATTGTTCATACAGCACACTGATATAAGTGAGCATGAATGGGTCGAAGAATCAATAAAGGAAAAATATTGATAATTCCGATAGCAAGTAATTATATAGAGAATAACCATGTTTATTACTTAAACAAAATAGCAATGCATGAAAATAAATTTTACTTGTGCCATAATTGCCATAAGAATCTGAACACAAAGAAGCCATATAAGTTTTCGCTCACAGCTGGTTTTGATACGTATATGGAGACCATGCTTGTAAAATTAAATCACTCGTTCCAGAATATTCTACAAATTGGATTTGTAGCGAACACAAATTCTGCAAGTATGACATTGAAACTCATGGGTAATATGATTGCGTTTTCATTGAATGGACTAGTACAGTTTGCTAAAACACTATCAAATATGGATATTGTACAAAATCTCCACTGTATATTAGTAGGCAAGGTCAAAGATGTACGTAGATACATAGATGATGAAACAAAATGTGACCAGTATACTCGTTTTATAACCGTACGTCCAAGAGTCGTACACAAGTATTTACAATCGCTCAAGAAAATCAGTGTACTGTACGAAGATATAACGATTACACCCATACATGATTTAGAACATGAATTTGACGACATACCGGATTCCACCCCAAAATGAGGAGATCGTTTCCGAAGATAAGGCTATCAAAATAGCATCCCCCGCAATCAGTAGTATAGCCGATCAAATTTCAGAACCCAGTGTAGAACCCAATCTACTTTCAAAGACCACATTGGAACAAACTTTATCGCTAACAACGCTTGAACAGATTGGGAGTATAGGCGAACAAAGATATACACCGGTTTATGAAAATCTAACTGAATTGAAACATCCAATAATGGCACAACGCGTAAGGGAAGATGCAACTACTGAAAGCATATAAGACTGTTTCAGATAATGAATGCTTCGAAGGCAACCCAAGAATACAGTTAACTCCAGACACAGAACACCCATTTAATGATTATATAGATAATAGTTTATTGAGACACAGTTGTCTCCCGTTACTATTCCTTGCTGGAACAGAATTGACTTGCAAAAGTACAATAGTAAACCATATGATAGATAATTTGCTTCATTACTACAAAAATCAATTTGCCCCGAATAGTGATTTTATATTTCGGACATCAAGAGTATTTTTCTTTTTTCTATTCTTTTTTTCTAAAGATAGGATTTTATGAGTCTCTCGGATTCGTCCCAACGAAACATACCATAGTTTCTTAATAGAGCGACAACGAAATACTAAATAAAATCCCTTCGGCGAAAACAGTACTGAGAGGATTATATATAGGCAATGTCTCAGCCTCACAATCCCTCAGAGTATTGCTGTTTTCACGAGGCATACTTAACTTGACTAAAAGATTCATTTCGTTTATTTATTTCGAATTTAACTATACTTAGACTTAACCTAAGCGTTTAATTACTCTAAGGCGTTAATATCGCCTGGATCGACCGAAATTTACACTACGAACTACAGATTCACCTGCAGCAACTCGTTACTGGTGCGTACGCAGATCGGGGGTTGCCACTGGCTGAGGTTGTTCCGGCTCGGAACTGCGGCGTGTAATGCCACGACGGTCAGCGTCGTCTATGTTGAGGTGTTGTTGTCGACGGCTCACTCGAGCATTAGTCATAGGGAAAAGGTTAATTTCAATTGGGTTTACAGGAGTGTGTTGTAAACGAAGAGTTTACTATTACCAGGGACTTCACTCCCACGTAGAGTATCGCACGACGCATAACTCGTGTGTCAACGACTTCTTGCTCGATCCCTTGTTCGTCGAGAGTTTGTCTTCGTTCTTGTCCATTGTATATTAATTAGTACTGCTCTGACTGTGAGTATCTCCAGAGTATATTGCATGTGATCTGCGCTCTTCCGTCTCGTTCTTCTCTACTTCTTTGACACCCACATCACCCTTTCTTCCTGACGCCTACTTATCTGAGACACTTCATACCCACTTGTACCCGTTATATGTCGAGTACAAGTAGCTGTCTGCCGAATCGTGATACAGTCGCTGATTTTTTATTGCCTACTGCATCTTTCGTAGTCATGCTCTCCCAGTGTCCCTCACCAGCCAACTCTTTTCTACCCAATGCTGCCATTGGAAACATCTTCGTAGTCGTCTTTATGGGACCAGTGTAGTGTAGTCTTTTTTCACGTATAGCCTTTGCAGTTCGATAACTGCTAAACCAACTATCCCCATAAACAGCACGTCCTGAATTATAATACTTCTCTACTAATCTTAGTGTGGTGGCGGTTCCGTGTTGATATTCGTCTTTATATGCACGTTCATCTGCGTCCGCGACTTGCACTGTAAACTTCG